TCTATTGTAATCTGAAGCACACCATTTGGATTGCGTTGTGTACAGATTCAAAAGTATTCATTTTTCTTGGTTCGCAATAAACAAAACAAAGCACAATCACTTGATGTCAAGATCTTTCGCGAGATAAAGTAGTACCTGCAACATCACACGAATCAAGGCGCAGAAAGACTGCGTTTCCTCCTCCACTATGAAGCAAGGCGCTGCCTTCCTCCTCCGACCTCGCGCCTGCAGAGAGGCCTCACACCAAGCTCCATCCGCCATGGCATTCACGCCCATCTGCGGCTCGCTGCAAGCCTTCCTGGCGCCTGCACATGCGGCGCCGTCCGCTGGCTTTCGGCCCGCCAAGACGCGGCGGCGCTCTCTACACGCCCACACCTCCGCGTTCTGGCCTCGGGCGCCAGATCCGTGGCCGGTGGCCCCAGCATTGGCGCCGCTTCGGCGGCGTCCACGCCATCGTCTGCGGCAAAGGTACGCAGCTGGCTTGATGATCGGCCCCGACAACGACGCCTTTCCGACCAGATCGGCAATGCCGCGCCTCTGGAGAAGCCGGATTTGGAAGAGCATGGTTGGATTTGAGGGAGATCCATGGCACGAATTGGGAGATCGAGAGAACGGAGAAAGGGAATTTTCCATCGCGCGAACGAAGAAGGCAACGAGAGTATTTTATTGAACTGGGTCCCAACCGTAGCGATGAGCATCGCTCCCAAAAATTTTCCACACTACATACCGAGTGGGCGGCGGTGCCTATTCTTCGCACAACGGGCCCATTTATTTTGGGGCACCGCTCCCACACTACAGACGGCCTTACGGCACCAGTTGGATTAGGCCTCCTCCTGATTCGGCTAAACTCCATCCAGAGCTCGGCGACAGATCCCAGTACGACGCCAATAATAAGCGCTTGACTGGGCAAAAGCTTGGCCGTGGTGGCGAATGGCGTCACGGCGTCAGTTCCAGTCACACACAGCACAGCCGCGAGGGACGAGAGCGAGAAAGACGTCGTGCCTGCTGCCTGTCTTTCGCTTTCCCGAGATCCTGGTATCTTGCACGACGAGCACAGGCACTATCGAGAGACCAGATTAGCACGTCGAATTTGAAAACAATAACCCAAAGTTTGGCACGCGCATCATTGATCCAACTGCTCCGTGTTCTTGGCGATTTTTTTTAATTTTAACACTTTCTGTAAACTATTTTTAAATCTAACGCTTGTTTATTTTTTTTTTTCAAATCTAACACTTTTGGCCGCGCCTATTTTCTTGGCGTGGCGAAACGCCTGTGCCACGCCGTGCATGGTGGCGCGCAAGAAGAGGATGACGTGATGACGACCGGGCGCTAACCGTGACGTGGCGGTGTGGCGCCACACACCGATCTGGAATGCGGCATCGACGCGCTTACGGCGCATGCATGGCGCGACAAAGCCCTGTTTATTTTCAAAAAGAAGTGGCGGGACAGACAGTGCGAGCGGCTTGTCAGCCACAGTGACATTCTTGGAAGTGGCGCGTCAAGAGCAGGCGTTGAGATGAGATAGACGGAGGCAGGCAGGCAGGCAGGCAACACAGGCAGACAGGCAACACTTCACGAAACGAATCTAGACTTTTCAATATCCATTGAAATAGGCTCTTCAGTGAAACTAATTAGGGTTCTTGTGACCAGTTATAAACACATTAAAACGGCAACTAAACCTGACTCTGCCTATCAATACGCAATGCTGGATGCATTGCTACTTACTTCTCAACTAGTATTTTCTTTCGTTACAGTACCAATGTCTGGAGGATCGTCCAAAGGGAGAGGAAAGGGGAAGGAAACTACCATTGTGTGGGAGGGTTCTCTTAGTCCCGATTTCTTTGAGAAAGCTCTTTATGAGAGGTTACCAGATGAGAGCAAAATAGATTTCACCAAAGAGACATCACTGAGAGGATACGATGAATGGAAAGAAGAGTGGTCAAAATGCATGCATGGTGAGGATTGGCTAGTGCAAATGTTCACCGAGGGAATAGATGGAGGTCGTCGTTTCTTCAAATGCCCGCGAGCATGGGTAATTGCTATTACTATTTGTTTCTTTAATATGTTTCTCTTCTATACAACTTACATGGCATACTTATTGCAGTCTTCCTTGGTCGAAGAAAATTATGAGTTCACTAGGTGGGTCGATCCTCGACCTATTTATCCGCATGTGGAGTACATCTACTACCTACAGGACCGTATCTTCGATCTAGAAAGAGAAGTTAGCAGCTGTTATAAGGACAACGAATAGGACGACAACAACAATGGTGTCGATTCACAGGAGGCACTTTGCAATTATCCATATTGCATCTGTCCTAACCATAAGAACAAGGGGCCTCCGCTGTCACCCTAGCCACCACCACCACCAATAATGGGAGGCTATTGTGGAGAAGGTGCAACACAATTTGCTATGTGGCCACACTATTAGGACGACCTTATCTTATTCATATGGCACATCTATGTGTTTGTTGTTTGGTTTAATTACCTAATGCATGTTAGGTTTAGTCGAAGAAACTTTGTACCCTAGTTCGGTACATATTCTCACATGCCATTTCATGTGTTTTGTTTGTTGAATTATATAATGCCCTACTTCGTTAGATTGTGTTTACACGTGATCACATTTCACTACGTCTGTAATATTATACTGAATATTATGACCACAAATAATAAAAACAACTACATAATGAAAACTCCAATACTATGCCACATTAAACAACACAATAATAATAGAAGTACATGCCGACAGTAGACAATATTATCCATGAATAAACCATAGAACTAGCAAGTCATGGAGACTACTGAGTGCAACGAGACCACTTTTTCTTCCTCAGGACATCAGGATTCTCCTCCATCGCTGCTTTCGCTCGGTGTGCATGCTCAAGCTTCTTCTCCCTCTCCTCCCTGTACGCAGCAACACGCCTCCTTTTCTCCTTTTTCTTATGCTCCTTTTTTGCAGCCTCCTCTCCTCATCTCTTCTTCATCATCTTCTTGTCCTCTGCCTCCCACTGCAACAGTTTTGCATCCATTCCTTGTCTTCAGGTTTGATCTCAGTGTCGATCCACTGTTCAAAATCACAGAGCGGTGGAGAGGTTTGTAAAAAATACAATTGTTACAAAACAAAAAAATCATGCAAGATGTCATATGACACAAACATTAATTTCTCACCATCTTGTTAATGCGACGCTGACGAAGTGTAGGCTTAAACGTAAAATTGGAACACATCCAATACATCTGCCTATACGTGTCCTCTTCATCGAACTTGGCTACCTTGCAAGGATCGCCACAAAAGCACATGGACACTGGAACACCACTAGACAGAGGCAATGGGTCGAAGGCATTTTCGATCATCCGGCCATAACTATAATTCAACCAATTTTGTTCTAAGAATCGAAAACAATTAACATTAAACCCTAAACCTAGTGTTTCCCATTTGATGCACAATAATAAACCCATAACATAACAATATGCATTGCGTTTACCTTGGTTTGCTAGCTTTTCCACGTCTTGGCATCCTACGGTTGTATAATACAAATATTAAAAATTGCATGAAACCCTAAGTAATGACGATTCTTAGGTTGAAAAATTCGACTAATATATACCGAATCGATGCGAAAAAAAACTAGGAGGGGAGCGAGGATACCTTGCTCTCGAAGATCTACGGATTAAATCAAAGTTTCCAAGGTCCAATATGTCGATTCGTGAGGTAGGGTGAAGTGGGGAGAGAAAAACCCCGAGAGAGAGGAGAAAGAAGAGGAAGAAGGCTCGGGCAGGAAGGTTGGGGGCCGGGTTAAAATATCACCTCGGCGCCAGGATCTACGGCGCCAAGCTGCCTGCCAAGTCACCGCCACGTCTGCGTCGAGCTCAAGACCTCGGCTCCAGCAACGATGACGCCGAGAAGTGTAAGCTCGGCGCCGAGCTAAGGGTACATATTTTAAAATCATAACTTTAGGGGCATATTTGTGATTTTTTTTAAAAGCTAAAAATAAAAAATTCGGCCAGCAATGCAAGAGTTAAGCCCTTTGGCACAGCTTATCCAAAACGGCTTCACCGGTGAAGCCAAAGTCGGTGAAGCTAGAAAAACTGGCTTTTTCGGCTTCTAGTTCATTTTAACCCCGGCTTACAAAACGGCTTCACGCTACAGTGTCTCGATTTGCACAAAATAGATAAAGTTAAAGCCGATATAAACCGTGTCAAAGAGACCCTTAATAGGCAAGGTTCTTCCGGCCGGCCGGCTAGTATAGGTGCTGCTGTGACACTGTTGGCGCTTGGTCGCTAGCTTCACGCAAAATCTGGCATAAGGACTAGTTAGTCCATGATCGGATAAAGTTTGTCAAATACAAACGAAACGTGCTATAGTGTCCGGATTGCAAAAATTTGCAATCCAAGCGAGGCCTAAGATTTGGGCACAGCGGCAGCCACGGCAGGCTAGTCGAGCTAGCAACTGTAGCCAAATCTCCAGTGCTGGCACGGCTACTACTGGCTCGTGAACATGACAGAGAGGGGTCTGGGGCGGGGGAGAGAGAAACGGAGAAAGAGGTTTGGCCACTGGGCACTGACTGGCAAGACAAGAGTGAGGTGAGCGAGGCTAAACTGGGCTCGCCTTCTCTAATCTCTAGAGTAAACACTGCGCAATGGTGGTCCCGGCGGCCGGTTTCCTATCCAAGGATAACAAAGATGGAGTATTAACCCTATCTCTCTCTATCTCACTGTCAAAGACACAGCCCACCCCGCGGCTGTACCTGGTCTCGGTATGCCGTGTTTATTTATACACACCTCCAGCGGCCGCTCAAAGCGACAGCTGGAGATCAGAGGGAGGAACTGAGCTGAGGATCGAGGTCAGGGAACAAGCAAGCAGCCATAGCCCATAGCCAGGTCGTGAGGGAAGGGCTATAAGCCGGCAGTGATCTTCATCCAAGTGACGCCGGAGCGTCGATCGGTTTGAGCTCGTGGATATGGGGGAGCAGGAGAACAACAAGATCGGCTGCGGCGGCAACAACGCCATGGCGGTGGACGAGGCGGCCGCGGCGGCCAAGGGGAAGAGCCTCGGCGCCGCGGACCCGCGTCTGCAGGGCATTTCCGATGCCATCCGCGTCGTCCCCACTTCCCCAAGCCAGGTCCGCCCCCCCCCCCCCCCTCGTCTCCAACACAATCATTCGGTTGACTCGGACGAAACCGCACGCGCGGCGCGAGGAGGCCTCGATCGGGCACGCACGTCGGCGGCCCGGACACACGGGAGCATGTTGTTCACTTCATTCCATTCTTTCGCGGCCGCCTCACGCGTGCGTGCATGCAGGGATCATGTTCAACGACATCACGGAGCTGCTGCTGCGGCCGGGCGTGTTCAAGGACGCCGTGGACATGTTCGTCGAGCGCTACCGCGGCATGGGCATCGCCGCCGTCGCAGGTAAATCAAATCGGAAACCGACCACCGAGCTAACCAGTCATCATTGGTTCATCATGACAAGCGGAGCCGCCGCCGCCTGCCCGCCTGCCTGCTCGCGACCACCACCCCTGGCGCCGGCCGTTCACTTTCCTTAATGACCCTGTGCGGCCGCCGCTCGGTGCTGTGCTGTCGTCAGTTCCCGCCTGACGCTGGGGGGGCACTGGGCGGGCGCGGCGCGGTGGTGTTCTGAGATTCCGTAATATCTTTGGGGCAGATCTTCCGTGCTCCTTTTGTCCCCCACGCTTTGTCGTTCGCTCGTTGCGATCAGCCGATCAGGTCATGTGCCATGTCATCACTCACCACCACCTCCACCTACGCATTTTTTTTAATCTCTCGCTCGCTCTCGCCTACAAATACAATCTACTCCTGCTGCTGTTTACAGTAAAATAAATAAATCCTGCAGCAGCTACACCTGCAAAGCAGTTGGGTACTAGGTGATCGAGTTCAATGTTGATACCAAGTCCTAAAATATGCTGATTCTAGTCCTCTCTCATCATCTGTTCATCTGACGTTCTATCTGGCCCTGGGTAATAATTCAGGGGTCCAATGCCGCCGAGCTCAGCTGGGAGGGCAGGTCGAGGACCATCTGCTCGCTACGTGCGGGGCTGCGGGCGTGTGCGTTGGTTTATGGCCGCGCGCATGGGGGCCACGGCAATGGTCTCGCGTCAGTGCAGGGCCGCTGGGTCGTGTCCGGCCGCGCCGCGCCACGGCGTCCCGTCCCTGGGGGCCGCCGGGGTTTTTTGTTTGCCTCGGTTCGGTGGTCCAGCGGAATCCTGCGCATTCAATGCCAGGATCGGACGGCATGTCGACGGCTGCTGATTGGGCGGGGTCGGTCGATCGAGCTCAGCTCTCGGTGCGATCTCATGAGTAGCGACTGTGCGAGTGGGACGTGCCTCGTGTGTGCCGTGGCGGGGACCGGCGGGGTGGTGGTGGTGGTGGCGGCGGGCGCCGTGGTGGGGCGCCGCCGCGATCCTGATCGAACGGCTGCGGTCGTGCACATGCGGTGTCGGCTCGGACGCCGAGATGTGGTCGCGCTTTCCTTGTAATTTGTCCTCCCTCGTCCACTCCTAGTCCTGCGATCTGCGCATGGCCTGGTCCCGTGCGGGGCTCTGCATGTGCACAGTGATCTCCTGTTGGTCTTGACAGCTGCCAAAGTAGAGCATCACTTGTGTGGTGGACTGTTGCGGTTTGCTCGGAGGATTTTTGATTCATCTACATCATCGAAAAACAGCTTGTCTGGTGCTTCGCGTTCCTTTATATGGCATCTTCTTGAACGGCACTGTCTAGGACGACCTCTATTTTTGGCTTTTTGCACCCTTTGATTTCTCCTCTATTTACAGTCATTACGGTTTTTGCTGTGTTACATTACATAAAGATATCAAGTTACTCTTTTGATCACATGAGGAATGTCTGAAAGTGTTTTTACCGCAGCCATGCATAATCATGTTCAAATCTAACTTCATATATATCCTCCTCTCAAACTTAATTATCATGTGACCAAGTCTTCATATTTTGCTAGGGATTGAAGCCAGAGGATTCATCTTTGGCCCAGCCATTGCGCTAGCCATTGGAGCAAAGTTCATACCACTACGTAAACCTAAGAAGCTTCCAGGTGATGTGGGTGGAGAAGTAAATACGAACAAAACTTTTATAAATTAGGTCACATAATTTTGGCTTCAACGGTGTTGGGGCAGCGAAGGGCTATTGTATCTTGAATATGTTGGACCCTAAACTTTTTACTCCGAAAATCAATATAACACCATATGCTACATACTCTAGACCATATCATGCCATATATAGCTACCACATCGGCAAAAACAATAAAGATATATGGATCTGTCGCTTTTTATTTCACCGTGAAACCCAAAGATACCAATATATGCCACATGGTAAAAAAACATGTCATAGGATTGTTACTACGTGGAAGTATCATTATATAAAAGTATATATTAACTGTAATTTCTCCAAAAGAAAACCGTAACTAAGTTAGACTCGTAGAAGTGTGCTGTCTTGTTACAGTTTCAACATATAATAATTGTTGCTTTTATAACATTATAGGTGAGGTATTTTCTGAGAGTTATGTACTTGAGTATGGGATGGATTGTTTGGAGATGCATGTTGGAGCTATTGAACCCGGGGAGCGCGTAGTGGTTGTTGATGATTTGGTTGCAACTGGTGGAACTCTTTCTGCTGCAATAAGACTTCTTGGTTAGTAACTTATTACATGCTATGTTTAATATGATATATACGTAAGGAAGCTGAGCCTAACTTAGTTTTGGTTGAGGGTGGGAATGTACGCCATACCACCTAGGTTCAAGTCTGGCAAATTTGGATGCCTATTTTCTTCTTAATATATAAAGCCACCTAGTTCCTCCTAAGTCGGTTTAGTTGAATATGATATATATGTGAATGCAAACCATCAACTTTGCATGGTTGTTTATTAGCATTAGTGCTCTCAATATATAATGAAATCAGCATAAAAAATATTTGAGTAGGTGTAACACATATCTTTCTGGTTGATGTTTACTGTCTGGTAGTACTAATAATAACGGAAGACCTAAAAATACCACTATTGCACTTATATTTCTTCTGACATAATCCCTGTACTGTAGGAACTTCCCCCATTTGTTCATAGGTATAATGCAAAGATGCTATTCCTTACATGTTTATGTTTTAGCTGTGTAGAGTGTGGAGTTTGTCATTTGAGTATTAGAATAAAACATTAGTGCACAGAAATCAAGCACTCTGTCCTCTTCAATCAACCATCAGCTGCTAATTTAATCATGTAGTAACAATGTGTTCTCGAAAGAAGGGAAACATTTTTTCCAACATAAAACTTAAACATATCACTCCAGATTTCCTTTTATGAGCAAAGAAAATCTTTTCACCAGTGATTTCTCGATCCTAGAACGAGAAACTTAAAGGAAAAAAAAATAGAAGTCAGATGCGATAAAGAGTACAGATTATACGGGAAAAAAGTTGATTGAGGTTGTACTTGCGTAGTAGTTCAGAGATTGTTGCGTAAGAATGGTGTATCGAGTATCTTGTGGTGTTGAGAAATGAGAAGCATCTCAACAACTTCGTGATGACATGTAGAGTGGAGGACATCATGTTTTTTTGACTATAAACGAAGTTTGTCCTTAAGCTGGACAAGCTGTTTATTCATCATAGGACAAAATCTTGTCCGAACGATACGCCCTATGGGGTAGCTAATTACTATAGGTATGATTTCAATGAGACTGGATGCACAATCTCATTTATTTGATGTTACAAGCAAAAAGTTTGTGGGTATGAATTGAGCACTCGTGTCTCATAGAATAAGCAAACAAGGGATACCACTATGTTAGATGTTTTCAACTATCTTCTCTTCCCCTTTTTTTCATCAAATTACAAAATGTTGTTTGTGTGGACGCTGTTGCATGCAATTGATCTTTACAATATTCGAACAGCATATGTTCTGGTGTTTACATACTGTGTTCTCAGTTATATCATGAGTTACTAGAAAGAAAGTGGCTTCTCACTAACCTTTCCATGACTGCTGAAACTATTTGCATTTCCAGAGCGAGCAGGAGGTAACGTGGTTGAGTGTGCATGCCTCATTGGGCTTCCCAAGTTTAAGGTACCAAAATATAAGTTCGTTCAGAAACGGTACCAAAATATAATATATTGCTTTTTGTCAAGGTCCACCAATATGCTCCTTACATGCACTTTTGTTAGCTAAAGGAAACTGAGGAAGTATTCGACCTCGGTCTGAGGGAGGAAAGGTGCAATAGAACACGACCAGTGTTAAAAAAGAACTAGTTTGCTTGTAACTATTCCTATACATGTGACTGCAGATTTTTAATAAATGAAATGATGACAATGTTTCCTCCTACGAGTAAAACCGAGAACCTTAAAGGTCAAAAGACCTATGTTTTCTGTAGGATGTAACTTCAGTGACAGATAGGTGCATATGTGGTCAGGGCTACAAGAACAGCTTACCTTAGTTTACAACTTTTACATACCACACGACCTTGTATTTTTCCTATGGATAGGATAGATGATAGCCATTGGCCACAACAAAGGGAATATGTATAAGCTGAACTCTTTGGAATCTAGCACTTGATGTTTCCAGATATGATGAAATAGAGAGAGTGGAACTAAGCCTATACTAGTGCCCTAGACCCTAGTCCACCCAAGTCTGTCTGTTCAATACTTCAATTAGGATAATTTAGATGAGGATAACTATTTTTTTCTTAAGCTACCTCGGTTGGTTCAGTTTTTTCATTTCTTATGAAAGAGAGGCATAGCAAGGTGTATATATACTATTCCCTCAGTTCTACTGAGGTTGCAAATTTTTTTACGTGCAGGATTTCTACAAGGCAAATTTTATAGGACGGCGATTAGACCTGTTATGTTGTATGGTGCAGAATATTGACCTACGAAAAGACGACATGTTCAACAGATAAGTGTTGCGGAAATGCGTATGTTGCGTTGGATTTGCGGTCATACACGAAGAGATCGAGTTCGGAACGATGATATACGTGATAGATTAGGGGTAGCACCAATTGAAGAAAAGTTTGTCCAACACCGATTGAGATGGTTTGGACATGTCCAACGGAGACCTCCAGAGGCACCGGTGCGTAGTGGAATCCTAAGCCAGGATAGTAACGTGAAGAGAGATAGAGGAAGATCGAAGTTGATTTAGGTAGAGGCAATAAAAGGAGACTTGAAAGGATGGAATATACCTAAAGACTTAGCCTTAGATAGGAGTGCTTGGAAAATAGCTATTCACATGTCTGAATCTTGATTGTTTTTGCTGGGTTTCAACTCTAGCCTACCTCAACTTGTTTGGGACTTAAAGACTTTGTTGTTGTTGTCGTTGTTGCAGAATTTCTACAAGCTCAACGGGAAACCAGTTTACATCCTGGTGGAGTCGCGCAAATAGGACGCAGCAGTAAATGGTCAGGCAAGTACTGCTACTGCTGTTTAAGCTCCTTTATACTTGAAACTTCTCTCATCATTCAACCCTTCAGTATTAATGATTTTGAACATACCATGAAATTACAAAGCTAGGCAAGTTTGCAAATTCGAGCTTTGCTAAAAGATCACTCATGGAATCAAATTTGATTTCCAGGCGAACAGCAGCAGCAGCAGCAGCAGTAGCGAACAGCCTTAAACTATATACAGGTACCAATACCAATTTCTGTCTTGTGACCTTTTCAGAAAAGCTTTCTATCTCCCCCTCCAAAGAAGCTCACAACTTCATTCATTTGCACGCGCAAGCAAGGTGGAATGGGCACCGAGAACTCCGCAGTAATCTGTGTAGAGGCCAAGGCCAGATGTTGTGTATCTTCATGGAGAGTGTGAGATGGATTGGGTGAAACGTAGTCACTGTACTTTTGCAGCACGTCACGTCTAGTGTTTTTAGTAGCCATGGCTGAAGAGAGAGTTTGTAGCTATTCCCGACTTCCTGCCAGGAACATCAGTGTTAGCCAGAGAAGGAAAAGGAACTTATGCTGCTGCTCAGTTTTCTACCAGAATCGTCTTTTTTTTTTTTTTCTGTGCAGATTCAATTCTCTGGTAAATTTCACTACACATCCACGTTCCTGAAATGTTTACTAAGCTCATTTTACCTAAAAGACTGTTAAATACAATCCTGGAGCAAGAGCAATCATACCTAATGCCAAAGTAAGGACGGAGGACATATGTTATCCAATACTATAATATTGCAGCTCCCAAAGAATATGCTAGTGTGCAGTTGTACTCCACCTGATTAGATATTACCCAGGAGTAAGGCTAGACTAGACTAAGGTGGGGGAAGTGATGATAACGATAAGAGTTATGAATAATAATTAACACACATATAGGAGAATTTTATGGTAAAATAAATGAGCAGTTTAGCTAAATTGAGAGGACAAAAGGTGAGTTTAAGGTTCCTAAATACTTCTCTATTACTTTGATTCTATTCTAGTTTAGACCAGAGGATATAACTAAAGCATGGGTAGATATAGCGATCACACACAATAACACTTTAGAGCAACAGTACCTTTCCGACCCTCGAGAACGTGGTGGATTACAAATGCCTGACAGAGCTATCACCTCAGTGGCTACCACAACTAACCGTGGCATTGGGCGCAAACTCAGTAACCCATAGTCTAGACGCCACGTCTACACTATTAATTACTACTCTAGTCACATATAATAACTAGAGCACTCGATGAGAGCGGAGATCCCATGCTAAGGTGTGAGAACTATACTAACCATACTCAGCTATACAACCATAGCATAAACTAGATAAACATAAAAGGTATATAAGTAAATAGAGAAGATAACTATATTAAAGCATGTAAGATACAAAGATATACCAGACCTCCGAAGATTTCTCCAGAACCTGAGTATAGCTCAACTCTCCCTAACTCTCAACTTAACTATTCTACTTCTACATCTTGAGAGAATAGTGGAGATTTCTCTCTTGTGGTGTTTCTTGATCCCAATGGATGCCTTTCTGGAGATGGTCTGGGGGGTCCTTTTATAGGAGAGATGGAGTAGAGAGCAAGCCAGTGCCACGTCATCGATCCGTGTCACTTCCCTTGACCACCGTTGGATAAACAGACCTTAACAACCTTAGAATCAAGGGCATAGATCTTAGAAACATGCATGAGGTGGCTGAGGCCTGGGGCCCATAGGGCAGGTCGACCGACCCCTCTCATGGTAGGTGGGCCACCCCCTCTGGTAGGTGGGTCCTACACTCCGTCTTGAGTGGGTTTTCGTAGGTTTACACACTTGTTGACATCGGTTTATATACTTGGTGTGTATGATGATGGGCCCATTGATCCTGTGAAGTAAACCGCAATCCTTGGATGCCTCTAAATGTCCTACTTTGGTCTGTTTTCTATATAAATCACCTGCATATAAATATTTACCAAGACTTGTGGAATTCGTTAGTTTAAAACCTCTAAACCTATCTTGATGTTTGGTTTTAAGGCTAAATGCAAGTAAAGTTGACGGTTTATTCTTGCTGTATTGACCGTCAACATGTGATTGGTGTGGTCTTACAAGACTACAACCCCTTCGAGTATACTTTATGATGACAATAACCTTCTCAGATGTCACCGACTGAGGTCTAACTAGATTTCTATTTCTCCAGATACATCACCTTTATTAGCTTACCTAGGGATAGGAATGGGCTGACCTGATCTTGGCCTTGGACCTAGCTAGCCCATGGCCTCAAGGCCAACTTCAAGGACCATGAGTTAACCCATATATATCTTTTATAAAACTAATTCCCACTACATGTTCTATCTCAAAATGCAAGACACCCATATCATTTTCCACTAATAGCCATGTCATGCCGCTAACTTCTAACCTCTTAATGCAAGCTATCGACGTCATCTTAAGTTCTATCTCAACATGCAAGATATCCACATCATCTTCCACTAATAGCCATGTCATGTCACTAACTTCTAACCTCTTAATGCAAGCTATCCACGTCATCTCAAGTTTTATCTCAACATACAAGACATCCATATCATCTTCCACTAATAGTCATATCATGCCACTAACTTTCAACCTCTTAATGCAAGCTATCCACGTCATCACATGTTCTCTCTCGACATGCAAGACATCCACATCATCTTCTACTAATAACTACCATGTCATGCCATTAACTTCCATCCTCTTAATGCAAGCTATCCACATCATATCGAGTTTATCTCAACATGCAGACATCCACATCATGTTCCACTAACTATTCACATTATATTTCACTAATAGACATATCATGTGTAACACCCTAAAATTTGCTCCTTTTGAAATGGATATAAATTGGGTTGATTATGAATTTTTGTGCTCATGAAACATAGGAAAATAAATTTTTTCATAAAATTAAAATTCACCATAAGAAGTTAGCAAATTGTTGTGCATACATTCTTGTGCATATGGTTTAATGTACTGAGTGGCTTTGATCTAAATTCAAAATAATTTCAAATGCTTTCGAAATGTTTAGAAATTGGCTTTGAAATAAAAGAAAATGAAAATGAAAAGAGATACTCTCTCTCTCCCTCTCTTTTCGGCCTGCTGGCCTGCTCCCTCAGCTACCGGCCCACCTTCTCCCGCACCCACAACCCAGCTCGCTCTTGCTTCTACGTAGGCCCGGCAGCACGCTACGACCCAGGTGGATAGCTCACACGGGGGCTCACCTTCTTCCTCTGTTCGGCTGACAGCCGGGGCCACACCCTCTTCGTTGACGAGACGGTCCCATGCGTCAGCGTCGTCCTCTACATCAAGCCGTGGCCGAGCCGGTCACCGCCTGGGGAAAAATCCGCGACCCGAGCCCGATTTCCACGAGATTTTCCACGTGGAGCGCACGCCCAGGCCTCTATATAAGCTGCCGCCATCTCTCCTCGCACCCTTTTCAGATCTACAAGCCGCCATCGCCCTAACCCGAGCTCGCGGCGCCGCTCAAGCCCTAAGCCGCAACCGCCACTCGATTCACCGTTGCCTTGCTTCATCGTCGAGTCGAGCCACCTGCCTAGCTTTGGAAGCCGGTAAGGAAGCCACAGGTACCTACCACACCTTCTCTTTCACCCCCGGTTATGTGCTTTGCTTCGGCGGAGGATTGTCGGACTTCCCGAGCCACCTAAACGAGAGACGTGCCGCCTCTGCTTGCGCGCTGTAGCTCTTGATCCCCTAGATTTGTTCGCCATCGCCTCCTCTCCGTCCCCGTGCCCTTGTTTTGGTAGGTGACAACCGGAATCGCCATCTGGGCGAACGCCGATGAAGTTCCGGCCATGGCGCCGCCGTCCTGGTACTGTGTTGGTGACCCCATCCCTCAATCGTTTTGAGCCATCCGATCTGGGTGGAACGATCATGATTAGAACGTAACCCTTCGCACCTTAACCGGTTCACCACGCGCCAGTGGACGCGGTCCACAAATCCACCTCCGTCGGTCCACGATGGACCACCCAACCTGCGCGCGCCACATCACTGCTAGCGGGTCCAACTGGTCAGCCGCTGCCGCTGCCGCTTTTGCGCATAGCTCCCTGTAGTTGTGCGATATTGAATCCACCGTCCCTGTCCAGATTCAAAATATGTTTTTATTTAATTTTAATTCAAAATTCATCTCAGTATTTACAAAATTGCCATCCAGATCTTGGCCCTGTTTGGCTAGCTGGAAAAACGGCTGATGCTGATGCTGATTTGTTGTGAGAGAAAAATATTATTATTTCGCTGAAACGGTACGGCTGATAATTTCAAGCGAACATGGCCCTTGTTCTCAACATAACTCCTATGTTTTAGCTCCGTTTAAACCTGTTCAAGTTGCATTATATTCATAATAATGTTATGTACATTATAGTAACGTTGTTTAACATGTTATGAAATATTAATTTGATTAATCTATATTAAATTAGTTTTTCAATTAAAAGCAACTTAGCCTTTCCACCTCGGTCTTGTGTGAATATAAAATAAGATTAATCTTATGTTGGTTTTATAATACAAATACAATTTGACTTAATTCAATCTAAATATTTCTCTGAAGTATCTTATACATGTGTTTATATAATTAAAAGAAGTGAAGCCTATGTTTCTTTTGCACCGTAGCTTCGATTAGCGTGCTTTTCGTGTCTATGTATTCATAGCAATGTGTAGTTTAGTTTTAAAACATTTTCACTGATTAGTGTATTGTTCTAATTTAGTTATTAGTATGTTATGCATTTTTGTGCTTGGATGCTTATGTGGTGCTTTATGATCATGTCCAGTCGGTGAGCTTTGCGTTGGTGATCTAGAAGAAGTTGGTGGTCAAGAAGAAAGAAGTTTGAAGACTAGGACTAGTTGAGGATATGAGTTTAAGACAAGTATAGCATGGGATCATCCTTATTACCTATTGACCTTAATACACTTAATTCATATGCATGTGTCTATCTTGCTAACGTAAGGATATCCTAACTTTTGTATCTTGTACCTTGATACCTGTGGTAGATATGCATTTGGGTAGTATGACGCTAGTGCTCTACTCAATAATCATGATCTGTAACCTGACTAATGGTATATGCAATAAACATTAAAATATGATTTTTAGCAACATGGAATCAAGGGGGCCGAAGTATTTGGCTACTTTCCAAATGCTTTAGATTACTCTCCGTAAAGACTTATCTGTAAGTGATCATCCGGGACTTACAGCACAACCATGAGAGCTATGGCTCCGGCTTTGGCTTTAGCTAAGTAAACTGAGCTTTTCTTGCTTGTTAGTGGTTACCTTAAGACACATTAGGATAGGCCTAGGTTGCAGAATGACTTTTTGTCTCTTAGAGGCTGTATAGCCTGCGTGGAATGTGCCACTCTATTAGAGGGGCTCCATTCGTCTAGCTGCTGAAACCTAGCGTCTACTAACTTATTAGAGGGACTTTCAAAAGGCTTTATAGTAAACCTTGTCGAC